CAGAAATCAGGGGAAATCATGGGAAATTATTCATGATTTTCCCAAAAATCGCAATCTGGTATAGAAAAACTGACTGATCTAAAACAATCAGGAAAAATCATAAAGCAATCAGGAAAAAACATAAGCAAATCAAAGGAAATCATGAGAAAATCAAGGAGGAAAAAAAATCTTGAGGAAATAAAGGAAAATCTTAAGGAACTCAAGGGAAATCTCAAAGAAATTATTCCAATTCTAGATTATCGCATGTGCAGTTTTCAAAAATCTTTATTATGTAATTTGAGACTATGTTATCAGGGGAACTCTTGGGTAATCTTACTGGTAATCAGCAGAAATCAGGGGAAATCATGGGAAATTATTCATGATTTTCCCTAAAACCGCAATCTGGTGTACAAAAACTGACTAATCTACAGCAATCGGGAAAAAAATTGAAGCAATCAGGGAAAATTATAAGCAAATCATAGGAAATCATGAGGTAATCAAAGGAAATCTTCAGGAAATCAAGAAAAATCTTAAGGAACTCAGGACAAATCTCAAGGAAAACATTCCAGTTCTAGATTATCGCATGTGCAGTTTTCAAAAATCTTTATACCGGGTGGGGCACGAAAAACTTTCCACCCAGGTTTTCTCAGGTGTTAGGTGTTTTATCAAAAATCGCTCAGACACGTCAATTTTTGTTTTTTGGGGGACACATTTTATTGGTATTTTCACCCCCCACCTGTGAACCCCTAAGTGGGGGTGACAGGTACCCACAAAATTTCAAATGAAAAGGGGGGTCGAGTGATACGTCATTTGATAGCTATTTTCATTAAAATTATATCCCCGAAGTTTCAAGTTGCTACTATTTACCCTGTCGAAATGGCGGCTTGTCAAAGTTAGGAAAAATCAATGGAAAAATGCTGTGTGGTTTTTACCTGTTACCTACGCATAGGTGTGACAGGTAAAAACTAGACAGCTTAGATTATGGAAAAAAAGCATTTATCCTAACTTTGACATGCCGCCATTTCGGCAGGGTTAATAGTAGCAACTTAAAACTACGGGGATATAATTTCAATGAAAGTAGCTACCAAATGACATATCACTCGACCCCTCTTTCCATTTGAAATTTTGGGGGTACCTGTTACCCCCACTTAGGAGTTTACAGGTAGGGGTTGAAATTACCAATAAAATGTGTCCCCCAAAAAACAAAAATTGACTTGTCTGAGCGATTTTTAATTAAACACCTAACACCTGAGAAAACCTGGGTGGAAAGTTTTTCGTGCCCCACCCGGTATGTAATTTGAGACTATGTTATCAGGGGAACTCTTGGGTAATCTTACTGGTAATCAGCAGAAATCAGGGGAAATCATGGGAAATTATTCATGATTTTCCCTAAAACCGCAATCTGGTGTACAAAAACTGACTAATCTAAAGCAATCGGGAAAAAAATTGAAGCAATCAGGGAAAATCATAAGCAAATCATAGGAAATCATGAGGAAATCAAGGGAAATCTTAAGGAAATCAAGGAAAGTATTAAGGAACTTAGGAGAAATAAAAAATAAAAAAAATCCAATTTTAGATCTGCATGTGCATGTGCAGTTTTCGAAAAATTTATATGTAATTTGAGACTATGTTATGAGGGGCACTCTTAGATAATGTTACTGCTAATCAGCAATCAGGAAAAATAATCCATGATTTCCCCTAAAACCCCTAAAATCGCAATCTGGTGTACAAATACTGACTGATCTAAAGCAATCAGGGAAAATTATAAATCAATCAGAAAAAATCCTAAGCAAATAAAAGAAAATCATAAGGAAATCAAGGGAAATCTTGAGGAGATCAAGGAAAATCTTAAGGAACTACGGGGAAATGTTAAGGAAATCCTTCCAATTCTAAATCTATCGCATGTTTAGTTTCCAAAAATCTTTATATGTAATTTAAGGCTATGTTATCAGGGGAACTCTTAAATGTAATCTTTCTGGTAATCATCAGAAATCAGGGGAAATCATGGAAAATAATCCAATATTTCCCCTAAAACCGCAATCTAATCTACAAAACTGACCTGAGGTTCACCCCTCGTTTTTAACCTTTAAAAAGAAAACAAAAATATGTGAAAAATTGGGTCTATTTTTATCCTAGTATGTATTATAAAATGTTGATCGACCCCTCTAAGATGGGTGCTACTGAAAATTTCTTATAGAGAATTCTTGGGAACATCACTAAGAAGGCTTGAAACGTCATTTCAACGGCATTTACAAACGAATTTAGGAATTCATAATTTGATGGTAAAATGATCAGATATAATCATAGGCAATTTTGCGAAAAGTCAAATTTAATTTTAGTAGTTTTGCGTGCGTTTTACTGATCAAAATATTGAAATAAGACGTAATAAATAAAAAACTAAATAAGATAGACCAAAAGAAAAAAAAAATAAGAGAAATATGCACAAAAAAGTTACTAGAACATCAGAAAATTATCAAACAAAATTAATAAAAAATATCAAATGACAACATACAAAAGACAAAACTGTTCTCGATTTTCTGTTACCATTTATAAGGTAGGTAGGTATTGCCTAACCATATCTTATAGCTTGTTGGGTTTATTATATCATCAATTTTTTTTTTGCTCAATAAAAATAGACCCATGATGGTTGGGCTATAAGGATTCCATCGCGGTAGCACTCTAAAAATATTGAGAAACCGAGAAGGCTCAAATTGAGAATGAGCGTTTGTTATTAGGGAAATAAAGCGTAATCATAAAATTTTATAGCTTCGGTGAAATGAAAAGTAGTAAGCAAACCACAACAGGTGGAGTGTCGGATTGATTTGAGGCTAAAGAAGAAATCGATGGGTCAATAATGTTCAAATAATGTGAATGGATTAATAATTTCTCTTGTCAATAATTTTTGTACAGTAGGTAATTTATTTTTGCCTCCAAAAAATGAATAAAATCAATTAAAATTTCCTAACAAATAAACTCCCACTGCAAAGTACAACAATTGATATTGGTTTAAAACGCAATTGCCAATACGCCTACAATTTTTTAATACTGGGACAATTGTGTTTTGTCGAACAATAATAATTTACGTAGTTTATTTTAAGAATCAGAAATTATATTGTGGTTTTAGAATAAGTATACCTAAATGTGTTTGCCTAACTGCCTAATTTCAAGGTCAGCTCAATTATTACGAACTAGGGTCTAACTTCAAAAATTATGCAACATGGAAAGCGGTCTTACGTCACAAAATACCTCTACATATCAGCAACTTTGTCATAATATGAATAGTGAATACTTCTACGAACCATTTAGAGAAACGTTTTTCCAACCTGTCGAAATTCCACCCTTCCTGTGAAATTCCGCCGGGGCTCTTTTCGAGAGTCTGTGCAAAGTAGAGAGAGAGACGTTCGTCGGCAGTATGGCGCACTTTCTCCGCCCCTGTGCGCCGAGTGGCACTAACTGCATATTGGATGGATGATGGGGGCCCCAACATTCGCCACGGTGACTTCTCTGGCGGCCATCGACTCGACGGAAATAGAGCAGGTACAAAAAAAAAAAGATCTGAGAGGAATCATCACATCACGTCTTTGATTCGATTTCACGCCTGAGATTTCTTTATTGGACTAGGTATATTGGTTACGATATTGGAATTTTTTGCTCTCGAATAATTGAGTAGATACCTATCTGTTTACTCTTCTTTATCTCTGAAAAGATTAGAAAGTTATTTGAGCTTTGGCTGTAGAGGTAGGCCCAATCTCTTGAGTCGATCATAATGACGTCCTTAGACTTGAAATGATGATAATGATCTGCCATCTTGAATAGTTCAAGAGTATTTCAAATTTATATCATTAATTGCTGGAAAATAAAAATCCCAGTGACTCTACTATCTCACATATTTGAACATTCAATGAGTTTCAGTGAATTACATACCTACTAATATTTTCTGTAACCACAAACCGAACAACGAACTGAACGACGAAAAAATCCCATTTGTCTGGACTTTATCCTAAAGATTTAATTGCTGACATTTCTTCCTTCAAGAAGAACACTAGCAAAGATCAACAGTAGGTACTATTTGTATTGGTCTACTTTCGAAATGTTATCTACCATGTTCTCTACTTACGAAACAATAATATCTATTAAAGTCAGACGCCAAAATAATATTGCCTAAAAAACCTTCAGAAAGCCTCCTAGCTGTCTAAAATTAAATATAACAAAGAAAATAGAAACCACATGTAAGCAGGCTTTCCTGTCCAAAAATAAAATGGCTGGCGTATGTTTAAAATGTTAAGTACAAATATTTATCAGAGTAGGTGTGTGTGTCTGTTCCTCCGTTTCCTTCACTTAAAACATTTTTTGTATTTATAAAATAATCTTCATCAGACTTATGAGATGAAATATGTGGGTTCGTTTATTAAAGTTTTTCTCTGAGGAAAAAAAAATCTGCACCAAATTATCCTAATCCAAGCGGCAAATTGCTCCCCAAGACAAGACAAATATTGTCCCTCCAGATTGGATTATAAAAATTACGAAAAAGGGGCAAATTACCAAAATGATAAAGCCCCCGAGGGCCGTAAAATGCAAATGACAAGGCCCTCAGAAGCTCGTTTAAGCTGGGGCGCTTTATCCGAGTTAATGCCTCTTTCTTAGACCTTATATAGAGATTTATTCGTAGGTAGGTAGGAAAATGTGCTCCCATTTTTAGAGCAAACCAAGAAACTATAACTTTATTTTTGATTAGGCCACTAATAGGGTATACCTAAGCATTTCTAAAGTAGTTCGCTTTAAGAATTAAGGTAGCTCCTATATCTGATTGTTCTTGAGATTGTTTCAAGACATAAATATTTATAGTCGATTTATTTTCTCGAATAATTCCGATGGTCCGACAAAAGAACAATAAATTTCGCTTGTTTGGGACTATTCGTTATTTCGGACAGACAACTCTAATAAACAAAAAGGCTCGTGTGTTTGTTGCTGGAGATCGTCATTTGAGCAATGATAGTGTAAATTGGGAAAAAAAAAATTACCTTGGTGGAAGCTGGCTAGCGTCGATCCGGGAAATACTCGCGAGAGTCTGGAAAGAAACATGTAAAAAGTTGTTAGTATACCTAGAGTATAGTTTATTAATCAAATAATTATAGGTATGTAAATCATTCAAATGTTCAGTTTCCGCAAGATATATAAATACATTTGAATGTTTCCTCTGGCTTTTGGCCAATTTTATAGCAACATTCTTAGAAATACATGGAGATTTATTTCTCAAATATTCAGAAAAATTGTCTAACAAACTGTGTGATAGGGGTAAGGTATGTGGCAATAATGTGAAGGACATTCTCAAGGGGTAAGGAAATTCCTGGAAATTTCGAGAAAAAAACCTATATTTTTTGAAATGTCTCTCTGCAAGGGTCAACCACTATGCTCACAAATGTACAATGATTTCCATATTTGGCAATCACTGATCAATGAATCTCATGTATTCCCATCTCAAGAATTGAGACTGATTTCCAATGATTTTCAGATATTTTTGTATGATTACCGAATGATTTCTATTTTTTCTGGGGATTCTTATACCTACATCATTCCCAATTGATTATCTGATTCCCTCGATGATTTCCTACAATCATCCGATTTCCAGCTGATTTTATTGCAAAAAGGATGTCTAATTGTTAAGCTTTGCATTGATATGACCAAAATAAACAGTTTTTTCTCTTATAAAAACACGTTTCCACTGGAAAATTGGCAACTTCTGAATATATTTGCAACTCTTTCAAAAGTTAGTAACTTTTATTTTCATAGTTGTCCACACCCACACGGATTTTGTTGTAGGTATAAATAGTTGTTAAGCCCTAGATACCATTGCGTATCTACACTGCATAATATGGATATAATGGATATTTCTTTGATTTCACTAGTATGTTCATCTGAATGAGAAACATCTTCAGTTAGGGTTTCACTCGACAAATTTATTTCTGATTCTGGTTCAGAGATGTGCTATCGTCTCTGCTTCTCGCCCTACCTAGTATTAATTCTACTTTCCCTTTTCAATTTATCAACATTATCATACTTTATAGGTCTGTTCTCACAGAAATCACAAAGCAATCAGATCGAAATTCATTGGTTTGAAAATAGTCAGATAACTGGTTGTTGGCGATTTGCACCAATCAAAAACGCTCTGACTTATTTGTGATTTCTGTGAGAACAGCCCTAATCTTCATCTCGTTCTTCTTCTTCTTCAAGTTCTGAACTCTTCGTAGTCTCGGAGTCTCGGGTTCAGTTATTGGCTCAGTTATTGGAAAACTCGTTGGAATATTAAATTCATTTAAATTTTCTAGCACTCAATGTTGCCTAGAACTTAATCTTGAAGGCAAATACACAATTTACCGGTACGCTGTAACGTTTAAAATGTATGATATGCGATTTCTGAGCTAAAATGAGATGATATTCCCAGCGATTGCCACATGATGGTCAATGGATTCCTATGTGATTCCCATCGAGTCCTAGCAGATTCCCAGGGACTCCCAAGTGATTTCCATATTTTTGATTGATTACTATGTGATTCCCAAAATAATGTACAATGATTTCCACTAGTAGTGGTTTACCCTTCGGTCTCTCCTTATGTCTTTTATGACAAAAAAAAATATGAGTGGAGTTTCGATATCGACATTTACTTGCGGTTTATCCAACGGTTAAAAGACACCTTGGACTATACAGGGTGTTTCAGAAATGGTGTTACAAACTTCAGGGGCAGATAGTATTCATGAAAATAATTAAAAAAGTTCCTATGGAGGTCAGAGACGTGCCGAGGTATGGTATTGTAATTTTTTCGCGAAAACGAAGCGAGATAACTGAAAAATGTAAGAGACAAAAATGTTGTATTTTTAGTGTGTCTATCTGAATAATCAATGAAAATCGTACAAAAACTACAGAGTGATATTTTTTTCTGCACAAAAACAACCGACTTGGTTGCTGGGTACGCCCCTGGGAATTCTGGATCAAATGTAAATTGGTTCAGTAGATGTCTGATAATAGTTGAAATAAACCGTAAAAATTTCATTGAAATCGGCTAAAGCTCTTTTGGGCTATTAATAAAAACTATTTTTTTTTTTGAAAAACGTATCACCCTGTATCTTGGAAACAAAGCGTTTCCGGACCTATATCCATAGGAACTTTTTTAATTATTTTCATGAATACTATCTGCCCTCGAAGTTTGTAACACCATTTCTGAAACACCCTGTATTTCCTGAAAGCTTCAAGTTGATAGTCTCACCAGAAAAGAATCTGTATTTTTTGACATGTCTCTCATCTCTCATCTCATCTCAATGCTTTGTTCCTTCGGTAAAAAATTCAGCAGATTGTGCCAGAAAATTTCAAAAATCATGCGCTTAAGTTTCAAGAACCCTCTTGGTTAAATCTACCTTGTTCCAAGTGAGTGGAACTTTGAAACCACTCTGCACAGTTTCAATTCATCAGTATTTAAAGACGAAGAGAGACCTTTGGCCTTGGTGACAACTATAGAGGTGCATATCTTGGATGAATTTTTGAATAAACATTCAAGTTTAGCTAAAGTTTTTTGTTACATAATTAGGTTTTTAAATCGCAAACCTTTCTCTTAAGGTTTTACGTCTTTGGAATTGTATAATTAATTGTTGGTTTTGGTCAAACAGGCTCAGCAACAAAGTTTTCAGGATTTAATTTTGCAACTGCAAAATAATCAGCTTTTACCTTACCATAAACTTGCTCTTTTTCTTGATGAAACTGGTTTTGTCAGGGTGGGCCGAAGATTACGACATTCTGAACTTTCTTTTGAAGCAAAACATCCCTAAGTTTTAGCTCGGGACCATCGTCTTACAAAATTATTGATTGAACAGATACATAAAGCAAATTGTCATCCTGGTGTGATGACTGTTCAATATTTGTTACGACAAAGATTTTGGGTCTTATCTCCTGGTAAAGCTATTTATCAAAATGTCTTCAATGTTTACGACTGAAGCCCAAAGCTTGTACCCCATATATGGGAGACTTACCTTCATTCCGAAGTTCTCAGCTGAATTGTTTTTCGCATGTTACTTTGGATTATGCTGGACCTTTTGTACAGAGTCTTAGGGGATCAAATTTTAACATATGAGGAGATGTACACCTTATTAACACAAATTGAGGCTGTATTAAACTCGTGTCCGATCAGTGAGTAGAGTACTAATCCCAATGATTTGTCCCCCTTAACTCCAGCCAACTTTTGACCTTAGAACCCCTGAATTTAGCTCCAGACCCCTAATGATCTCTCTCATTTAAAGCTCAATGCTTTGAACCGATGGCAATTGATCCAGAGGTTACATTCGGATTTTTGGAAGCGTTGTAATATGGAATATTACATTGCAGCTGCGCTGCAAATGGACAAACCCCACTTAGGAAATAACGCCTTACTGAAGGACGTAAATAGGGCTCCATTGCAATGGTTATTGGGCAGGACAGTGGGAGTGCATCCTGGCAAAGATGTGCACAAAGTTTGATGAGAAGTTTGAGCCGATGTATTTTGATTTGGTGGCTGAGCTTGACCATAAGGATAAGGGGGAGCATAATTTTGTAGGAGAGTAGTGTTCGACGACGAAGCTGATGTTTGTGAAGAAGCTGAATTTGTAGAGTAGTACTGATTCGAAGACTGATTATGATTTGGAGAGTAGTTAGTTTACCTGTTTCTCGTTGGGATCAGGAGTCTGTTGCGGGTGACAAATCTTCGCCTTCCGTACAAAGGGGCTTATCTCAAAAAATTGCTAAATTGAGTTAGGCCCTTGGGAGGCATCAAAACAGTTACCTGCAGCTACCCTCTAAAAGGCGTATCTCAAATTTAGGTAATCTCGTCTTTTTCAGTATCCTATCTCAGATCTGGCACGAAAACAATGTCACAAAATATTTGTAAAAACTTCTTTATTTTCTCCTGCAAAATCACATCGAATGATGTCAATAGCGGCACACTCGATAATTATAGGTTGAAGGACAATCTTTTAGCAAATGATTGAATCTAAGACAATTTATACCTACAAGTATTTTGTTGTTTGACATAAGCGATCTACCGGGGACTTGGAGATGAAGGCAGTAGGTTGTCCTTGAAATCCTGGTATGCGTCGAGAACAAAGACTTTGAGAGTACAGGTCCGCTCCCCATATGACGCCAATTCTCTGGATTCACCTTGATTGACGGCATATTTGAACAGAGTTTTGGTAGCAGGAAAACATCTAACGAAAAGGAAGGCTCTCTTTGTTCTACCGTTCCAATTGTACAGTTGATATATCTCTGAGTCGAAGACGAAGAGTGGTATCAAGTGAGCTTTTCGAGTCAATCCTAACCGATCAAGACAGTTTTGACTAATGAAGTTGGCTAGACTAGCTGAATCTAGAATAGCTTGAACTATCTGGAAATTTCCTCGCGCATCCAACACTTTCACTGGTTATAGACAAAAGTATATAGTGGTCTGTGGAGTGGAAACGGCAAGAGATGTGCACCTTACCAACATTATAAGTAGACTTTCAATGTCGATATTGACTTGCGGTTTTTCCAATAAATAAAAGACACCTTGGACTATAATAATTCCTAAAAATTCCAAGTTTATAATCTCATCAGAGAAACATCTCTATTTTTTGAAATGTATCTCATTGAAAATTCTATGTCTTTCCAATCAATAAAAGACACCTTGGACTATATTTCCTGAAAATTTCAAGTTGATAGTTTTACCAGAAGAAAAATTGTATTTCTTTCAAATGTCTTTAGGTACTGAAAATTCCATGTCTCTTCTGACAAAAGAATGATTAGCCTTTAAATGAAGAACCTTCTAAATGTCGTAGAGTGAAGGTTTATTAATCTTCAAAGATGTTAACCCATCAAAAAACTTACGTCATTACACGCGTTTGGTCAAATCGATCGACTACCCAAAAGTTTACATGAATTTTAAGCTTTTTTCGCGGAGACGATCCCAAACGTATCCTGAACGCTAAGGCATGACTTACGCAGGTTTACTAATCAATAGAGACATGAAACTCTCAAGCATTACCTGCGTGAGTCATGCCTTAGCGTTCAGCATACGTTTGGGAATGGAATCGTTTCCGCGAAAAAAGTGTACAAGCACTATAATTCCTAGAATTCATAATCATTACAAAGGGAATTATATTATGCAGGACAGTTAGCGTATTATCGACAGCCAAAGGTACTCCCAATATCAAAAAAGGCCAATTTTGAACACAAATATTTCAGATACTCAGATTCACGCGCCTGAAGCACCGACTATGAAAACAACAGGCGAATTAAAAAGTCACCAACTGACATAGGTATTCTGATATTTATTCTTTTGAATATAACACTTGCAAAGCAAAATTTAAACGAAAACTCGACTTAAATAATCACCAACTTATAGACTCGGATATTTTTCCTTTTGAATGTGACACTTGCAAAGCAAAATTTAAACGAGAAGCCGAATTGAAGAATCACAAACTAACACATTTGAATATTTAGCCTTTTGAATGTGGCACTTGCAAAGCCAAATTTAAACGAAAACTCGACTCGAAGAGTCACCAAGTGAAACACTCGGATATTTTTCTTTTTGAATGTGACACTTGCAGAGCAAAATTTAAACGAAAAGGCCTTTTGAAGAATCACAAACCAACATAACATTTGGATATCTATCCTTTTGAATGTGATACTTGCAAAAGCTTCAACAAAAAGCCAAAATATTTTTGGGCCAATGAGTAGTAGAAGACCTGCATCAGGTATTTTTGGATGGACAAAACTACTACCCTTGTACCAGTTGCGTTATTACTGATTTTATCAATGGTCGGTCTTTATGACCGACACGCGTGTACTCCCGGTTAAATTTTCACTTTTTAGAATTGTTGTATAAGCTCGGCGCAGTCTTACAAGCTATGACACTTGAGAAGCTTCGAAATTTTCAAGAAATTCGAAATCTTTGCAGCTTTTAAGATCACAAGACTAACAGTCTTTTAAGACTTTTCCGTATTTTTGTTATGTCCGAAGAATTTCTGTCAAGTTTCTTACATCAAAAGATCAAGCTAGGTTTAGACTATACATTTTAAAATCTTCAAAATGAGTCTTCATAGCCTTTGGAGTAAGCTAGCAAATTCTTCAATCATGAATTTTTAGACTTCTCTTTGAAGTCTTCAGGATTTTCAACCTCAAATTTTAAGATTTGCGAAGCTTTTTACTAGATGTATCAACATAGTATTTGTAAATATAGATTGATTTTGAATAAAGGTTTATCACCACATAGGCTTAGTTTGAAATATAATCTGTCAAGTACTTTGGAGACTGACGATTTCTTCTGGGTTGAACAATATGAATTCATCTCCGGATGTGTCCAAGTTTGAATTTCCTTCTGGATCATCATTCTGATCATCAGGTGTTTGTGCATCTTGTTTATAGGAGTTACTTCTTGTTCTGGTTAGTTAAGAGATTGAAAGGGATTTTCACTATCATCATCGTCATCAAATTCAGGTGCACTTTCACGTGGTGCTAGATGTCTTAGATTGACAGTACCTTCTCTGCCATCGGGAAAACGAACAAACGCATAATCTGGGTTTGGTTCCAGCAAGTACACGCCTTCCACAAACGGGTCGTATTTATTTTTCCTAACATCCTTTTTCATCAAAACAGGGCCAGGACTTGAAAGCCAGGTTGTCGGTTGCTAGATTTACAAGAGAGATCGGATAGAATGCAATGCTTCTTCGAACACCTTCACCCATTGTTCTGTTTTCAGACCACGAGACTTCAGTGCTAGCGAAATTGTTTTCCATATTGAATTATTAGATCTTTTCACATGACCATTGCCTTCTAGATTATAAGTAGTCGTTCTGCTAGTGGCTATACCTTTTGAATCCAGATATTCCTTCAGTTTTTTTGACATGAAAGAGTTTGCTCGACCAGAATGTATGTACGAGGGAGGGCATTCCAAATATTGAAAATGGATTTGTGAAACATTTAATCACAGTCCTTGCAGTCATATCAGGGCAGGCGTAAGCAAAAGGGAATCTTTAGAATTCATCTATAATTATTGTTAATAGGTAACGATTTGTTAAGGATGTTGGAAGAGGACTTTTGAAATCAATGTTGAGCTTTTCTAATGGTCTGATTGATTTTATTAGTATTCCTTGATTTTTACTGACCGTCTGCTTGAGCTTTCTCGAAAAGTGCAGGCTGCGGACACTTTTAGTACCTACATCGTCTATGGAATAAGGTAAATTCCGAGATCGAATCCTCTGAAACATTCTAGTTATTCCAGGATGACAAAGTGCATCATGTAACTCGTACAATTTATTCTCAGTTGAATCCCCACATACCCGGGAAAAAGTAACGGCTACGAAATTCTCATTTCCTGGACTATGTCATTTGAATAGCATGACTACTACTATGCTTCGTGTCTAACATGAATGAGAATGAATTGATCTGTAATCAACTTGAAATGCCTTCCAATAAGAAAGTGACGCCATTTCTTCAGAGCTTCTAATTGCCAGTGCTTCTTTACCAACTGCTGCGTGCTATATGATAGAGTTTTTGAGAAAAACGCAACTGAATTGCTGCTATTGAATGTTCGGAGGCATCTGTTTCCACCACAAATAGAATGATTTTTTTAATAGTAGCGACAGCTAATTTTGCTACTTCAGTTTTCAAGTTGACGGTGATACCAGGCTCTTGCATAGAATAGTTTCTGGTACTAACAATTCTATGAATTTTCTTGGAGAATCTAGGTACCTATTCCTTTAGAATAATGAGCGAACATGCCCACAGCTCTTTGAAGTTAAGCTTTATCAGTTGCTACTGGCAGATTCTGTAGAGGTTCAAGTCTCGCAGGATCAGGTTTAAGTGTTCTCTTTCCTATAAAATATCCCAGTAATTTAATTGTCTTTTTGTTGAACGAACTTTTACTTTTTTTTAGAGTTAGGTTGTACTTTTTAACCGCTGTCAGAAAAGCTGATAGATTCTTATCGTGTTCTTCTAATTTTTATATCATCAAAATATGCGTAGACGCTTCTAGATTCTCTTGCCTGATTATTGTATCTAAAACTCTTTGGAAACAAGCTATGCCGTTAGTCACACCAAAAGGGATACGATTAAACTGGTACAGATTTCCATCAGCTTCAAAAGCAGTGAACTGTTTTCCATAATCTCTTATAGGGAATTGGTGATACGTACTTTCTAGGTCAATAGTGCTAAAAACGTCAAATTTTGAGACTGCTCTTACCAACCCTTCGATATTAGGTAAAGGAGAAGCGTCAAGATAAGTAAATTTGTTGATTGTTTGAGAATAGTCAACAACCATTCTCTTCTTATGATTTTCGCTCATTGTCACAAGAACTTGTGCTCCCCAGGAAGATGTACTTTCTTGAATGATACCTTTTGTACTTTACTTGAAATAAATTTTGCATTTGACTCAAAACAGTGTATCTTTGTTGCTGCACCTGGGGATTTTCCGCGTTACTAGAATTGATGAAATTTGTTGAAGCTGTTTGGTATACGTCAGAATGTTCTTGAGCAGATTCAAGAGATAAAGCTTGTGATGTTGCTTCATCTAAAGTGAGATTACTTTTTTCCAAGAGGCGTTGACGAATTTCATTTGACAATAAGCCGCTAATGAATGCATTTCTAATAGAAACTTCGCGATATTTTGGCAGTTACGTTTTTGAAGTTTCAATCTTTGTTGAGCTGATTCAACATTTGAATTTACTGGCTCATGTTTGCTCCATGTTGCTGTTTCCTCGAAGAAAAAATATGTCTTGCAAATACTTCTTTTTGAGGTTTCTATATAGATGTTATCTAAGATACTCACAGCATCAGCGTAGGTTTTTACTTCAGAAACGTATTCAAACATGTTGTGACTTACATAGTTTGTGAGCAGCTGCAGCTTTTGTGCTTCCTCTACATCCTTTACTGACGACATGAAGTTCTGGAATACAGTTTTCCAGTGACACCATTCCTTCGCTGAATTTGATGAGCTGGGACTAATATCAAACCTCTCAGGCCTCAGGAACTTCTTCATAATGTCAATTAAATTGTAGTAATGCAAAGTTCCCAGAACTAAGGCCTTAATGGACAAAATTGAGGATAAGATTAACTTGAAAAATTAATGACACAATCTTGAATGACAAACAAATACAGGTAGACATGGTATTAAAACATAAAGATGTATCACCACAATCATACATTTGAAAAATTCGGTTCTGGGTTTCATCTGGTACCACTGCTAAGGAACCCAATCAGTCTCGAACCAACCAAATCCCTCGAAAACGTGGCTGTTATAAACAATTCAAACATGTATGAAGAAATCCCAACAAAATCCCCATTTATATCCAAACACTATGGAATGCGTAACACGCTGGATACCCTTGGCACGCCATAAAACATATTTTGATGCATTTTAAGAGGGTTAAAGCTCACCTCTTCACCGGATGACGTATTTATTTGCTTTAAACTTGGAAGCCCAACGAACTGTAAATCGTTTTTATTTTTAGCCCCCAAGTGCACAACGTACCAGCTCGGTTTGTTAGGAAAAAAAAAACGACTTTATAAATAACGTGATTTTCGAGAACGAGCAAACAACGTTCTCTAAAAATTGAATGTTTTAATTCAGCTCAGAAACTGAAAAAGTTTCAAGTATCATTAGATTGAGTTACACCAGAAACTCTTAATCCAATCCTCCAAAATACGTGTCAAGTTTGTTGTTTGAATAGGAAATGCGTGTAATCTCTTGACGATAAAACCACGCCTCGGGCTTCATCTAAAACGTGCGACTCCAACGCAAACAAAGATTATCTTCTTGGCGGAATAACTTTTAAATGGCGTAAAACATTTTTTCCATTCGGTTTGCGGTATTAGGAAATCCGATGGATCAGTCACGAGTGTGCCATTTTGTCCGCCATAGGACTGATTTATTGAAGGGAAAGGTACGAGCAAATATCAGAAATGGTCGGGATTAAAAACACGTTATAGTTTACGATTAAATCTAAGTAAAACTGAAAAAGATAAAATTTAATACCTATTTGACAGCTCGAAGGGATTGAGAACTCGTTCCACGTCCCCGAACAGCTTGAAGCATTGGATTTAACACTGGCAGATGAAAAATTTCAGCCTGAAACAAACAAACAAAAAATTAGAATCCAAAGCAATTTCCCAAGATTAAGATTGAAACTTTTTTCCGTCTAGACAATTCCAGTCGGAAAGACTCTAATATAGTTTTCTTTCGGCTTGATTGAATAAATCTTCCCTTATCTTTGTTTTCCCATGTTCTACGGGTATAGAGGGGGCTGTCATTTTAGAGTGGCTTATATATAAAAGGGCTACACAGATCCTGCCTTACTATAGTTTTATGGCCGCCCCTTTTCTTGATGGAATTGCTCAATTTAATTTTGCGAAAAAGTTTTTCAAGGAGAAAAAATCCATTTTCCCGATTGCCAGTTCGGTATATATTTTGCATATAAAAAGGGCGCCCTTGTTGTTTATTTTTTCTGTATTCAGTGGGAGTGTGTGTGAGAAACAAACAAAAATATATAATTCCAAAATACCTTTAAAAAATATGATTGTCGTTTCATCTACCATACATTTTTTTCTCTATGTCTCAATTCCCGGCTCTTGGAATTTTGTTTAATTTTTTCTAAATTTAGAGAAAAGTGAAGGGCTATAGAAATAGATACAAAATACTTTGTTTCTACCACCTTATATGTACCAATTTTTTCTGAATTTTTCATGGATAATTAGTCTCAGTCTCTATGTGTCAATTTTTCCGTATAAATTTTTGTCTTTTCCCGGCTCTTGAATTTTCGTTTTCTTCCAAATTTCTCCAAATACTCAATTTTTCAATTTTTCCAGCTCAATTTGTGTCTATTCCCGGTTCTTGAATTTGTGAAAATAAAGAAAACTCAATTAGAGTTTGAAATAGAAACAAAATACATAATTTGTGTTTATTTTTATTTGTCTACCAGTTTTTTTCTCAATTTCTTCTCTCTATTTCTCAATTTTTTCAGCTCAATTTTTGTCTATTCCCGGCTCCGCATGATCCTTATCGATACATATTATCGATATGACAAATTTGTATCGATTTTTAATATGCACCTCGATTTAAGTATCGATGTCTATACCTATCGTATCGATAAGCTTTTCCTCTCATCCATTTTCATTGGAGAAAATGAAATACTTAGTCCTTTGTCGGTTAGTAAGTTTAAAATTAAACCGAAAATTGTCTTGGAAATAGAGACAAAGCGAAATTTAAATGAAAAGGCAATCTGGAAAGTCATATAATAACACATTCGGATATTCAGCCTTTTGAATGTGACACTTGCAAAGCAAAATTTAAATGAAAAAGCGTTTTGGAGACTCACAGATTAAGGAGAAAAAATCCATTTTCCCGATTGCCAATTCGGTAGGTATATATTTTGCATATAAAAAGGGCGCCCTTGTTGTTTTTTTTTTTCTGTATTCAGTGGGTGTGTGTGTGAGAAACAAACAAAAATATATTATTCGAATATACCTATAAAAGATATGAATGTCGATCGTTTCATCTACCATAGATTTCTTCTCTATGTCTCAATTATTATCTATTCTCTGCTCTCGGAATTTCATTTTCTTCTAAATTTAGAGAAAAGTCAAAAGCTATAGAAATAGAAACAAAATACCTACTTACTTTGTTTCTACCAATTTTTTCTGAATTTTTCCTTCAGTCTCTATGTAACAATTTTTCCGTATATATTTTTCTCTCTTCCCGACCCTTAAATTTTCGTTTTTTTAAAAAAAAATTCTAAATACTCTATTTTTCCACCTCAATTTTTGTTTATTCCCGACTCTTGAATTTGTCGAAATAAAGAAAATTCAAGAGCCCGGAATAGATAAAACGTCAGCTTATGTATGTACCAATTTTTTCTCAATTTGTCCTGGATAACTGGTCTCTATTTCCCAATTTAGCCGTATACATTTTTGTCTATTTCCGGCCCTTGATTTTTCGTTTTCTTCCAAAGTTCTCTAAATACTCTATTTTTCAATTTTTCCAGATCAATTTTTGTTTATTCCCGGCTCTGCATTGATACATATTATCGATATGACAAATTTGTATCGATTTATAATATGCACCTCCATTTAGGGCGTATCGATGTCTATATCGTATCGATAAGTTTTTCCTCTCTTCCATTTTCATTGTAGAAAATGAAATACTTAGTCTATTTTCAATTAGTAAGGTTAAAATTAAACCGAAAATTATCTTGGAAATAGAGACAAAGCGAAATTTAAACGAAAAGGCAATCTGGAAAGGATTCGGATATTCAGCCTTTTGAATGTGACACTTGCAAAGCAAAATTTAAATGAAAAGGCGTTTTGGAGACTCACAGATTAACACCCTCGAATATTCATCCTTTTGAATGTAACACTTGCAAAGGAAAATTTAAACGAAAAGACGATCTGAAGAGTCATACATTATAATCACATTCGGAAGGAAAGAATTTCAAATGCAAAATATAGAATGCTAAATTTAGAACCAGGTGTTATTTGTGTGGTACCTATACCAATGTATGTAGATTTTCTCGGAAATAGAGACAAAGCAAAATTTAAACGAAAAGGCAATCTGGAAAGTCACATATTAACATATTCGCATATTCACCCTTTTGAATATGACACTTGCAAAGCAAAATTTGAACGAAAAGGCGATCTGAAAAGTCATAATAAACACACTCGGAAGGAATGAATTTCAAATGCAAAATATACAACGTTAAATTTAGAACCAGGGGTAATTTGTGTGGTACCTATATATAGTCCAACAAATACCATTTTGAAGTCACGTGATTTTTCTCTATCCTTGTTGAATACATCTTAAACAGCGGTGATAGTAAAATTGACAAAAAAATTGGTTTCTAATTATTGTTCATAATATTCTTACCTGAAATAGAATCCGTCACTGTCATCAATAAGTTTGTCAAAGTTATTTTCGAAAATGATACAACGACCAAACTCAGCTAATAATACCCAATTCAGCTTCAGAATGTATTACAATGGAGAGCAGATGCGACAAAAGTGAGTCTCGCAGCAATTGCAAGTATTAAAATTCCCATCTGGTCAATACTACTTCAGAAACGCGTTTGTGAAATGCTGGTGGGAACATATCTTAAAATTCAATAGTAATTAACCACCAGTAGCTTTTTGTAGGTGATATCGACGACATAATCAATGGACATACGTTTTTTGCCATCAATATCACGTGACTTTAAATTGGTATTTGTCGGACTTTACCAATGTATGTAGATTTTTTCGGAAATAGAGACACAGCGAAATTTAAACGAAAAAACAATCTGGAAAGTCACATAATAACACATTCGGATATTCACCCTTTTGAATGTGACACTTGCAAAGCAAAATTTTAATGAAAAGGCGTTGTGAAGACTCACAGATTAACACCCTCGGATGTTCATCCTTTTGAATGTAACACTTGCAAAGCAAAATTTGAAAGAAAAGGTGATCTGAAGAGTCATACATAAAATCACACTCGGAAGGAAAAAATTTCAAATGCTAAATTTAGAACCAGGGGTAATTTGTGTGGTACCTATACCAATGTATGTTGACTTTCTCGGATACTATTTTGAATATATAGTCCAAGAGCCCATAGCCGCCTGACATAACGACAACGACAACAACAACAACGATAAAATACCGAATCAGAAAGCAAATAGTGAAAGACCGAATTTCAAAAATGATTGACAATCTCAAAGAAATAAATATTTACTAAAAATGTTCAATATCTAAAGAATAACCAAGTGCTGAGCTGAGACAATAAGAAAACTCCTAAAAGAGCAATTTTAAGCAAAAAATTTAGAAAAAAAAACACAAATAATAACCAACAACTTGTTGATGAAGTTTTGGCAAATAGTGAAAATAAAAATATCGGGAATAGAAGAAACAATAAAATAGAATGTATAACAACGAAGAACAATTACCAAAACTGATAATTGGTTGGTAACCTCATGAAAAGAGAAAACGAAGAGTGACATAATAGACATCTTTTTTCATCGAGAATGGAATAATATAGAGAAGAATAGAATAAAAACTGACAATAAACATGGACATAACATTTCTTTTAAAATTCTTGGTTATAGGTTATAGAGCTTCATATATTCTAACAAACAGCCTTTTTTCTATGTGTATTGAACTTGAAACCTAGTTATGAATAATCGTGATTTTTGAAAGATAAGCTCGGATTTGAAATTGCAATGAGGTGTTTATTACCAAACCGAATCAACTTTTTTCAAATAAGTCTCATAGCAAGGTAACATTAGGTGGAAAACTTTATGAAAGAAAATTTTTGAAAAACCCAAAGCATTGAAAGACGAGTAAGTAGAATGCGTCAAAAGGAACAAACGTTCAATTTTTTCCCCTCCGAATAAATATTTGCGATTTCGGTCAGAGTCGTCGTTGCAAATAAAGACCCCCCTCTGTGTTCACTGGAGCAAGTTTATTGGAGCCCGGCTCTAACGTACAAATCAAATAATTTGCGCTTTATTGGGCATGAAATATGGGTCTTCATTTTAGTTTATCTGCAGTATTCAGAGCAAAGCAATGGTCAGATTTATTAGAATAAAGCACCTTTTTACAGAATCCTCACCCCATCAAAAACTACTTTCTAAATTGGCCAGCTCAATTTCCGCTTCTACTTCCCTAGCAATCGAAAAGCTTTCTCGTGTTGCTCTCGCACAGCCATCGGCCATTTACGACTGACTTGACAGATCAACGCTTTATTTATTATTCGCTCAGTGTGTAGAGCAAGTATTTATACTTTGGGTCTTTTTCCGCCCGATGTGCACCGTGATTTCTGAAATATTCGAGACAAGTGTTTGGTTACTCGAGAACCACTTGAAAATTGGAAAGGTCGTAAATTTTAACTAAAATAGCTTTCAACATTTTGAATATTTGCTTAGATACAATAATTAAAATTAAACTCAAAATCAAAATAAATGTTTCGGTTTGGCTTCACAAGAGGGTTCAAACAAAATCTTTAAGAACTCATTTAAATAATGAATCATTGAGGAATTTTATTGGAACCTTTTTCGAACCAAACCGCATCTTCATTTGCATCCAAAGACGTACATGTTCGGCCATTTTAACGAATCAAAAGATGTTT